ATATCAAAAAAGGTTAGCAACGTCGTTGCAAAAAGTTCACAAACCTAATTGTCACGTACACTGTCTTGAATTTTGGGTTAGAAAGAAATATTTTATATTGACAGATGCAGGATAGTTGGGAGTACTAGGTGAAATGTCAAATGGCATACTGTGAAAGTTAAATAGTGATATTGTTAATTGTTGAACATGTTATTTACACTTTTTGAAACTTAAATTTGTGTTTCTATAAACTTTTTTCCGTTGGAGAGCTACAATCATTCATTACAGAAAGTAGAGATTAAAAAAAAAATTAAAACAACATATAGTTCCAAAACCCAGATAAGCTATGTAACATTTGGTGGTATTCTTCCAGTCCTTCTAGGCTTTCATCTCTCTTCTTTTCGCCTTAGTCATTGTTCTTTTACTAATATGAGTAAGCATTACACACAATTTTATGAAGACTGTGCTACAGAATGGGATAACCTATTTGTGATTTAAATGCAATATTTTAGTTACCCCATCCAGTTGCACTGAATACAGCACTTAATTATTTCTTTAATAGACTATTGTCTCAAATTATAAGGTTCATACATTCACTTAATACTTCAAATTCAGGGCTTCAATCATTTCTCACTTTAAGGAAGAAACTGAATGCGCTGTTCTCCACTTGTGCCTTTCTAAGAGAATGGGTCACTCTCCAACACATCCTTTCACTTAGAAATGTTTGCCATGTTTCTGATGTTCTGTATCATGAAATTACAATATGATGGTATAATCTGTTCTTACTGAGCTATGCCAATTTTGGATAAGAGAGTCTCACTTTTCACTCTGCATAAGTACAGAAATAGTTGATGAACTCTTCAAATGAGCTGGCTTCATCTTTGATTGAACTCAGTATGTCATCCCTTCTCTGTAAATGTTCAGGAGCCTGGAAACATGTCATAAAACAAATACTAAATGGACAGCTCAAAAACAAGAATAGCCCTGGGCATTACAAGATACTACGAATCTGGTCCTAGTCAGCAGAGGGACTTAACTAGTAGATGTCAACGGATGACAGGCACCAAAGATCAAGTTCAAAAGCTTTTCAGACACTGAAGGGACTCCATAAAATATAATTACAATTTCTGTATGGTACTATTTACAACATTTATAAAAGTACTAGCCCCACATTTAATTTGATAACAATAGTCTTAGATTAAGTATTTTCAGCTAAAGGCAATTAATCTCTTTTCCTTATGAACCTCGAATAAAAGTTGTTTTATTATGTCCTATATTAAGATTAGGGAAAAAGGCAAAATGTGAGAATAGAACTAATGTGTAAAATGTGATAATATTAGGAAAAATATGACAGATGCAAAAGCCAGTGTGCATAAATGAAACAACAAATTGCTGTATATGATTAGCACAGTCAATTTGGCCAGAGAATAAAGTTAATGAGGAACGACTGGAATGTGGTTTTAAATAAACTTAAATTTTATTTTTTAAATCTCATTGAAAAACAGGCTTACAGTAGAGCAGAGCATGGTTTGCAGGACAATTATAAAAGGAAAGCCCTAAGAACTCTGTAGTGTGACTCCAATGTCACCCAGGGAAGGCCAGGAGAGGTAAGTGTCAAAACCAGCTGACAGTGTCAATCACACTTCCCTGGGTGGACCAACTCACTAGTAAAGATGATTATGATAAGATTAATCCTATTAGACATTAGGATCAATTACCTTCCCACATGCACTGAAGCCATGCTTATAATGAATCTTATAAAACAAACGAACAAAAAACTATAAATGGGCTTCCCATGATTTCTTTCAGTAAAACAAAGATGACGGAATGGCAGTCAGTATCTTAGCACCTTTGAAAATTAGGTTTCTTAAACAGGCATTTGGGCTTGTTTCTTTTAGTCTGTTGGTCACTGGTCAACTTTCAAGGATTGTATTCTTAATACATTTTTTAAAAATGAAATTCTGGCCCTACAAAAGTTATTTCTCAATCTGTGGTGCATCAGCATCTCCTATAAAACATGAAGGGTCCCACCCTAAGCTGAAACAAAATGTACAGGTGCTTTTTAAGAAAGTCTAAGTGATTCTTACACACACCAAAATGAGAATCGCTGCTATAGTCTGCTCTTACTGATTTACGTCAATTTTGGGCTAGGATTAAACTGCAATAAAAAAATTTACAGTATGCAAAGTTTTAATCAATCTGTCTAGAAAGAGAATTCTCATGGTAAAGCAGTTACTGTGCTCACATTACGTGTTTCTAAAAACCAACCTACTTTCAAAGAATTGAGGCAGTTTGCAAAAAAATTTAAACACGTGTAATTGAAATATACAGATAACATGTATGGGCAAAAGTAACTGTGACAAAAACCAAAGGGTAATACACAAAAACAATCAAACATTACATTTAGTTATGAAGATTGCCAGTTAATAAGGCAAAATAAATACAATGAAATACAACAAAATCATTATCAGCTGATAACAGGCTACGTTCCACTTTTTTTGCACATAATGAACTTCAACAACAGTTTTTAGTACAGATTCTGGATTGTTTCTTCATGTGAAAACTTTTATATCAACTGTAAAAAGGTAAGGATAAAATTTCACAGGCATTTCCTAAAATGTAAGCTCATGCAGCAATCTTTCTTGATATCTAAGTTAATCAACTCAGGGCTGATTTGGATGCAAGTCAAAGTTTGTGAGAACAACTGGCCTATCTTTTCAGCTATCAGGTGTCTCAAGAGGACTTTTAACCAGAGGCTGTCAGTTCAAAACATTATTCTGTAAAGACATTAAGTTGTATTTTTCTCCCAATAGGTGAGAATTCCAGCTTAGAACAATGTAAGGGCAAGTGTTACCTCAGTCACATCAACGTTTTAAGAGCTTAATCACCTTGGCACTGCTTCTCTGAAATAGATTTTTAAGTTTCCTATTATCTGGGTAGAGAAGAATCTTGTCACACATTATAATGTATATTTCCTATAAATATAACTATGCTAACTTTAAATTTAATCCCCAGGAAATTAATTCAACTGATTGAATTAGTCCATTAGGTGATGTTGAAGATAGTCTCCATTTGGCCACTGGAGCATTGGTTCAAAATAAGGATGTTCGTTTTGTGTATCATTTAGTGGTTTTTTTGTTTTGTTTGCCATAAAGATACAATAGTTTCTCCTCACTCCTGAGAATGTTCCTGAACCTTGAAAGTGAACTCATGTCATTAGCAAAGACTTAGAAGATGATCCTCCTATTTGCTGTCAAGTATCTACCAAGCACACCAAAAAGCAATACCAGATTGTTCATTTAACGAGAAGTGGAAAGCCAAGCAGAGCAATGACAAAGTCCCATTATATTCCTTTTGATATTGAATAAGCCATGCCTTCAGATGTCAAGTGCTATCCATTCTTTTCATAAATGTCAAATTTTGCCAACTTTTACACAAGTTAGAATTCATGCCTAGTTCCTAAGATTCTGTTTCTACTCCATCAAGAAAGAGTTGACATTATCAATGCTATGAAAAGACTCCCCCTCTCCCCCCAACACACATATATATTCTAGTTGTTCGTTTCTCTGGAGAACACTAATACAATACAGTTCTAAAACAAATGAAGTTTTAGAAATTATGCTAGTGGCATGCCTGCTTAGAGAGGCAACGGTAACACACACAATTTGATAAATTATTCCTTAAGGAAACTAGTTTTCATTGAGACATACTTCATGTATTACAAAATGCACAGGTGTTAAGTGCAAAGATTGCGTTTTCACAAATAAATGTAACTGTGTATCCACCATCCCATCCCCACCAATATACAGAGCATTTCCATCGATCCCTATTGTCTTTTTCCACTGTTCTGATTTCTGTTACTATGGATGAGTTTTACCTGTCATAGGACTTCACATAAAAAGATTTATACAGTATGTACTCTTTCGTAAACATTTCTAATGCTTAACATAATATCTTTGACACTCATCTAGTTGTGTGTATCTGTAGATGGAGTTTTTAACTTTTATGTTTAGGTTTCTGATAATCTTAAATTTATTTTTGCATTAGGTGAAGGGTGAAAAAAAAAGACTCACAATCTTGGCTGTTTTTAGACATGAAACAATATAACAACATACACTAATAAAATGAATAACAAAAAAATACATATTTTCTAATGCAAGAAGTTGAGAAGAACATAGACAAGTTTTCATCGGACTTCTAACAAACTACTTTGTAATTTGCAGACAAAGGCTTCTCCTTCTGCAACATCGGGTAAACTATACTTTGTATCATAGTGAGGGCACTGACCTTGAAGAGGTGGATTAAATAGTTTGCTAAGATTGGGGGAGGTGGTAACACAGGATAGATCCCAACCATTTTTTTTTTTCCATTTCAGAGTGATTAATCAAATAAATTATAGCAAATAGGATAAATACACCAAAGTTCTGAATACTTCAAAATCATTTTGCAGAAATAAATACAAGATAAATAACCCTTGAATTTTTCACTAGGAACCTGTAAACTATAGCATTCAATAGACATTCTACAGAAATTCAAGTCTGACTCTTTCCTAGCCATTATTAATCTGTGCAAGTATGACCCAATGCTTTTCACATTTTTTAAAAAACAAGTTGATTATAAGGCGATCTGAACTTAAATCTCTTCTGAGGTCTACTTAAGATGTTATCTTTTCTAAGTTTGTGAGGAAATTTTTTTATTTTTTTAATTCCTGGGAAGAGGTATATGGAGACTCTTCCAGTATTCTCTGGGTTTTTGTCTCATAGTTGTGTTCAAAATACATTCATTCCTACTGTGTGTGGTATACATACATGCATACACCTACACACACACACACACAAACCCTACATGTATGTAAAAAGAAAATCTAATAAAATTTACCACACATATGCACATGAAGAGACTGAATCAACTGCATAAGGAAATATGTTAAGTATTTTATCCAAAGTTTTGTATAGTCTAACAGTGATCTGGAAAAACAAAAGTGAGCTCAAAATCAAATCAAGTGACAATTAAGTTCATACCTAATAGCCCAGTGTCTACATCATCTTCATTCTTCAAATTCTCAGCATGTAACTCTGTAAACACAAAAAAGGGCTTCAGTAAAATAGATGATTTTGTAATTTGAACAGTAGCTCAAGGGCTGCGAAGACATTGTAGAGTTGTAGAAAGTGCTCTAGAGTCCTTCAGCAAGCAAATAAGACGTCTATGAGTCAACTACCATATATACATGAAATGGGAATATTTAACACATAGGGTTGTTGTGAAGACACTTTATGTAATGCAAATCACAGGGCATACTAGGTTCTGAGTTCAGTTCCTTCATTCTCCAAAATAGCACAGCTCAAAGTCTTCTGCAATGGACAATGGACTTCCAGGTTTTGTGGCTTTATCATAAAAAGGCAATCAATCATTCGCAACAAAAGAGAAATAAACTACCTATAAGACAAAGCTCTTGAGTTGCAGTGAAAAAAGAGGGGGAGGGGAGTGACACAAAAAAGAGGGGGAGGGAATGAAATATTGGCACCCATATACTTGACATTGACAGTTTATAACCAATACCATTGTATGAATAGGTAAAACTTGCCAATCGGTCTTCTGTATGAAAATTAAGCATGGTAAGCTGTTAGATGCCACCTGCAGCCCACTAGTGGATTGGAAGCAATGAGGAAAAATAAAAACTGCAAACAGATTTAATTCTATTTAGTAAAGTAAAACTAACATTTGAGTGACAATGTGTTGGGTTCTTCTCATACAACAAAGGTAGCTTTGTTCTAATTTTTCTTTTTCAGTTAACTTGGCCAAAGTTACGCACAAATTAGAACGGATTTAAACTCAGGTCTGATTCTTTCCACTATAACATAAAATATCCAACCACATAATACATCCGTATAAGCTTTGGAAAACTTTTCAAGTCACAACTGTATTTCAGTTTGGCTCATATGTCAAATTTTGATAATCAGACAAAGCATAGACTAGCTCCTGTAATAGAACTTCACCGCCGCACTCAGTTGCAAACAATACAAAACCGAGAGGAGGTCATTACTCTACTATCAAAACAGACATTTGGGCTGTGGGATGTCAATACCTGCACTTCAGGAATTCGGTGAGTGTACAGAGAAATCGGTGGCTAGCGCGTATTTACCCACTTGTGAATTAGATTTTGAACACGTATAACCTATTTTAATTACACACACTTTTCACCGTTTTCTAATGATTGTTCTGCGTTTTAATTTTGCTAACATGTCACCTCGTGTTCACTGACTTTAAAATACTGTTTAAGATCTTTCTTTAAAATGGGTCCTGATCATGGACCAGGGCACTCCACCTTTAAGAAAAGTGAGGACAAAGGGAGGAGAGCAAAGAAAAGTGCAGTTGAGAACTCTGGATGAAAGCGGCTACCAGCTTGCCGGCCTTTGATGGGGAGAAGGGCGACGAGGGCGACAGCCACGTCCAGGCTCAACTGTATTCTGGACAGACTTTGAAGGCCCGACCTTCAGTACCTTTTACGATCAGGTAGGCGATGGCGAGGAGGAAGGCGAGGAGGACGGCGAACAGCAGCGAACACAGAATTGAGAGGACCTGGACCGGCCACCGCTGAACCTGTGTTCGGCCGCATGTATCCGCCGAGATGCCATTGCGCTTCTCCGGCAGGACCGGCGACCCGTCCCCTTTCGGCGGGAGTAGCAAGCCCTTTCTAGGCTCCGACGACGCCCCAGCTGAGAACTCTGCCCGTAGGTCGCGGGCTACTTGGTCGCATTCATCCTCTTCGTCTTCACCTTCACCCCAACTATCCCCCTGAGTGAAGGAGGAAAGCCTCGGCCGAAAAAAAGGGACAGGGGTACCGAGGCGGCGGCGCTGTACAAGCGAGCGCCTCCCGCTCTCCACGAACGACATGGCGGGAAAGACGGGGAGGCCGGAGGAGATCCAGCGTCTCCCACCCTCCCCGCCCCGACCTCGCAACAGCCAATCAGCGGCCGG